GGCTGGCTCTAATCTTTCGCCAACATGTCTCGCGCATTTATTTGAACATAAATAAAGCAGCTAAAGTGGCAGGGGTCGCATTAACGTTGACCCTGAGAGTCTGCAGCTCAGTGACTCATCAGCCATTACCTCCATCAAGCTGCGCCGCTGATCAGCCGTCTGGAGGGAACCACTTTAATGTCTTCTTGGCCAATGATGATTGAGGAGCCTAGTAAAAGGAACACCTATTCTTTGTCCAATGTAATACATTCTAAGGAGAGTCGGAGAGGGAACGCTTGAGGGACCATTCCCTTGCAAGGATATTTATCACAGGCAGGCTGATCTGTTTTACGCTTAGGAGACTCCCAGACGGCTCCATAATAAACGCTTACAGGGGATGAAATATTCATACAGAGTTAAATATGGATCCTCGTGTGGTCGCTGTCCATTAGACTCCGTCAATAATGATCAGTGCTGACGCCTCTCTTTATTCGCACTCTGAGGAAATTCCCTAGCAGCGGCGGTTAGAGTTTTTGGAAAAGGTATTGGGAAGAATTCAGCCTTGCATAAAAGGAGAAGACACGTCTAAGTGGTGCTGGAGAAGTCTTCCACTGTGTTTGTGAAGAGCATGAGCGGCAAAGAGATGTGTCAGACGGCTTTTATCAACGTTAACTAACTAACCGTAAAGCTGACATTGCTGCGCCAGCAGTAGAAGTTGTTTTTCTCCACAGACGGTTCAGACGACATCAAGGCTCTTACCAAACTTAACTGGAATTCCACAGTACAAGAACACACGCTCTTTGCTATCTCAAACACATCATCTAATATCATTTACATGTAAATTACACCAGGCAAATTCCAGTCAAGCTGTTTTTAGCTGTGGTCAAAAAAACTTGTATGGATTCACTAACATTCTGCATTTGAGTGAAGTGGGGATATTTCTAATCAGTATTCAGTCAGATGACGGGACTCAAGAGGTATCTATCAGCTCCCATCATCATTAATAGGATCATACCACCCTGCCTCCACACAAGCTGTTTTTCAGCGAAAGTGCTGCTCTCAGGGTTGCAAGAATGTTCACAGCTATACCAATGTATCATTTCACAGAATGATGTTGTTCCTGAAAGTGCCTTCAGGCGGAGAGTTAATTAATTGTTGATTATGGCAAACACGTAGGCTATGTGTCAGCTAATCCGCCCTGGTAAGAGCCACTTGCCAGGAACCCCAGGGTGGTTACCTCTCCAACACTGGACCTAGTCCACATAGATCCAAGGCTAATGCTCTAGGTAATCTAAATCGGCATTAGGCCAGTCATCATCACGTGCCAGGAAAACTTTATAAACCCCGGAAAACATGTTCCCTCCTAATTCTCCAATTTGCAAGGTCCTTCATCAGTGCCAATGCATCTATCGTGAAGCATATACGGCCCGATGAAGCCAACAGAACTACCTCATCTGCAATAACCATGCTATAGAAGACAGCCGACAGCATCTAGAGCTTTAAGGAACTCTGGGTGGATCTCATCCACCCCAGGGCGCTTTTTAAATCATTGGCTGCCAAAGACGTCTATAGACGTCCATTCAAATACAACCGTTGACTGCCAAAGACGTCTAGACATCTTTTATGTTTTTCAACGAGAGTGGCTTGGGGGACGATCTGCTAAAGCTTGTCCGTAAATATCGGCTTCTAGACAGAGTATGTAGTAACAATTTGACCCTCTAATGGCAGTGCCACTTTTGATGGGAGATGAGCTTAGACTGTAGGCAAATAAGAAAAAGGGAACGGTTCGCTATGAGAGAACATGTCGCCGGTGAGACGCAAGTCCAGGAAGAACGGAATAAGGTAGAAACTAAATTTTTTTCCTGATGAAAGAAGAGAGTCTACTCTTTCTTTTGGTGTGTTCTGTGTTTACATAGTCATAGCACAAACTATTCTGTGGCTCTTGAAAAATCAGTCAAAATGCTAAAAAAAACTCTGTCTTAGAGATCTCAACCCTAGAAGAGCCCACACCCAGGACCCCAGACCAGACCCTGCTCACTAATCATGAGATTGAAGAAGTCTTCAAAATATTCATTCTGCTGGCCCACAACATGCCGAGTTGAGGTCAGCAGCCCCCCGTCTCTACAGTGTTGACGGAGCACTGCTTTTCCCTCCTGAGTTGCTGGATGGTAGACCAAGATTTTTGAACCTGTGCCAGTCCTTTGCTCTGAATCCCCAAAGTTAAATTAATGAGTGCAAATGCAACAGGTTCTAATCACTTAAAGCAGCACTTAATGTGTAATCTTTCAAGAAATATCAAGCTGTATGTTTTAGTCTCTTATGGATGTCGATGTCAATTGGAAATGATTGAACCGACTGGAATGAATGACTGACTTTTTTGTCATAATAGCTATTGTTTCATGTATCTCAAAAGAGGTACTATTACAAACAATCCACAGCTATTATGCTTCTTTTTTTACATGCATGTAGACATTTTAAAGGCAGTTTTGCTGTAGTAGTGGCTTCCCGAAACGGTTTGACATCTCAACAAGCCTGATTGTTAATGTTCCTGTGTCCAACTGAGATGTTCTGAACCACCGCTGATCAGTCACTTTGTCATGTTGTGGTTAAACGGAACACCGCCGGTGCCTTACCGGTCAGCACTCCAGGGACGTCATCAGTGCACAGAGTCAGATATCATGAAAACCGCTCGCTTGCTGTTGAAGATCAGGCAGATGGACTGGTTTCCCACAGTGCAGTGCACTCATCTGGAGGCAGGAAATAAACAAATAACGCCACAAAGCAAACAGCTGGGTACAATGGGCTGTGGGCAGAGGCACAGGAGACTCCTGCACCAGTTTAGGGCTGATATATCTGTTTGCAGATGTAATAACCAACAATGAGCTGTGTTTGCAAAAGCATCTGGCTCAAACAGTGTGTGAGAAAAACCCATGGCGTACCCATGCATTTCTACAGTATGAAGGAGTGTGCTGCTCCACACTTAATGCTTCGTATCAATGTCAATGCATTCGTGGATTTAATTTAAGACTTTCAGATCTATTACAAATTGTAGCAACAACTCAGGAAAAAGCTTGCTGTGAATTCTTACTCTGTCCTCCTGTGTTCAGGGGATTTTGGAACATGTTTCTTTAGGTCACATGAGGTATAGGTGTCATTTCCAAGGGTCTTAGTTGCCGCTTTGCCCTAATAGTTTTGATATATATACTTTTTTCTAAGAATCATATACCTCACAGTCTTTCTGTATAGATGTAAACAAAAGCATGTTGGGATAATTCATTCCTTTACCCCTTATACAAACTTTAACCATAACAGCTGAATCCTTAGTCTTAGAACTTTGCCTTCCTTAAAGTCAGATTAAAATTTTCTGAAGAAAATGTAACGATCTGTCAGGACAAGGTTTTAAAAATAAAATCCGATTCAGGATCAGGCAATGAGGAAGATTGATGAAAAATGGCTGTTTAGCATTTTTTTATTAACTTTATATAAAACCGCAAACAACATCTAGCTTTTAAAATTGAATTACTTAATAATAGCCCACATTTTTCCTATTGGTATGAATGGAAACAAAGTTTTGTTTAGTCTAAATACAATAAATGATCCTAAAAGTAAGATAGTGTTGGCTAATAAAACTAAACTACCGGTAATAATCATATGTATTTATCAAAAGATTTTAATTTCATTAAAATATATTGACTCCTGATGCATTATGCATTTGGCGGTTGGATGCTTTTATTAACACTAAATCTTACATTTGGGTTTGTTTGTAGTATGAGGATCATTCATTTCTCCTTATTTGGGGATACTTTAACCTATATAGATTATGTTTTGGGCCAGTGGATACCACATAACCCCACGTCTAGTATAAGTAAGAAATAACTTCTAATCCAGTGTATTTCATTTTGAAAATAGTTTATGAGGTATCATAAAGATGCTACGGAAAAAGTTTGGCTGGCTTCCCTCTTTTCTCAAAGGACACAATTAAGCAATTGTATCAGGCAGCTGAAAGCCAGGTAAGGTGAGGATGAAGAGGAGGAAAACCCATCGTGGAAGGCTAAATCTGAGAGAAATTGCTCTTTGTTACTGTCAAATCAAAATAAATGACTTAACTTCAAAAAAAGTAATGGATTTTTGACAAGGTCATGTTTTTTAATTACACAGTCTGCAATTGGACCAAAGTGAGTCCTTTACATCAGTAAGTACATGATAAGAAAGATAATATGAGAGCCAAAAAAATGGCCAAGGGCAGGGAAACAAATATGTTTTGTGGAAGATTCATTGAATGGACGAAGACTGTGTTTCACATGCTGCATGGATAATGTTGATCAGTTTTGATGCGAAATGGCCCTCATGACTCGGCAGAAAACAAGCCATCAATACATTTTCTCTAAAATTGTCCATGTCACTTCAAATAAAATCTTTGCACATTGATGATGAGCCATAGAGACAGAGAAGGATCAGTTGCAAGCTCATAGTCACTGTCGTCCATAATGAATGATGAATGTCTGCTAACGCGCAGTATTGATGTGCGTTTTTGTCCTTTTTTTGTTCTGAAGAAAAATCACACAGCAGAATGACTCCAGTACCTCCCCGTCATTATGTTTACAGTGAACAAAGGGACGTAGAAATATATGAAAGAAGAAAATGCAAAGATGTGAAAATGAAATCACTTTAGGATTGAAAACAGGGGACTTGGGGTGGGTGATGAAGAAAATGTTGATGTCATGTGTTTTTGTCCTAACCTAATTGTAGAAATCATAACCAAATTAATATTTAGAGAGTTAGGTTTACCCGTAATTACTTAAAGATACATAATGGATATTTATATGAACATTTCCATTCAGGGATTAGTTGAGCTAGTTGGACACAGGCCTACACGAATTTTGGGCTAAATATTTTCAATGGAAAGTCTTGTCTCTTTCAATGGTTCTTTAGGGAAAACAAATCAATAATATGTATAAACTTGTGTGCATCTTTTCACCCTTCCTTATCTTCCTTTTTTTATTCCTGCGTTTTTCCCGTAGGTCTGATTCGGTTGCAAGAACTGATCAAAGCACCGTCCCGGTACAATATCCGCCTAAAGATCCGACAGCTGCCCGCGGAGACCAAGGATGCCAAGCCCCTTTTAAAAGAAATGAAAAGAGGAAAAGAGTTTCACATCATCTTTGACTGTGGCCATGAGATGGCTGCTGGGATCCTGAAGCAGGTTTGTAAATGACTTTTTGCTTTTTGTTGTAGCTGCAGCCACTGATTCCATGTGCTCGTACCTACTTGTAGAGGTGTACCATTTGATGAATCGAAAGAGAAGGCAGCAGAAAACAACTCGAAGGTGTGGGTGGATGACAGTGTCTATATATATGTATTTGTATATGCATCAGTTCACTGTGTGCATGTTAGGTTATTTCTCCCAAGGAGTGAATGCGTGTACTGTATGTGTGGTTGTTCATCTATGTGTGGTCCTGTGATGGACATGTGACCTGTCCAGGGTCCACCCCGCCCCCTCAGCCAATGACAGCTGGACTAGGCTCCATCCCTCCTACCACCTTCCTAAATATAAGCGGTGTTGACAATTGATGGATGGCTGTTCAACACATATATTGACTTTATGTTTAAAAATAATTAAAACTGATGTTCATATATGAAAATGTATTCATATTTATTGTTTCAGATATGGAGTAACTCAACAGGCAATGCTAATTCACCTTTGTGAAGCTCTTAAGACATTATTTATGTTGGCTAACTGATGTGTCTGGCGCCACAACAAAAAAAAAAAAATGGAAGGCTTTCTTTTATTCGTGTATTCCCACCCAAATGATGATTTTAGTCGTTGTAATCCCTTTCTGTCGGTTCAATCGTCCTGATACCACGACCATCCTTTCAACAGAAATGATTGATTTGTGGCAGTTTGAATTCCCAGTGGCCAGCACTGCACAACTCCAAGTGTGTGGAACATAGCCAATTCATACACTCAGTTTGACAATAATAAAACAATGCAGAGTGACAGGATTTTGCTAAATAATCTATTTGCAGAACTGAGATAGTGTCATCAAATGAATGTGTGTCAAGCAGAGAACACAAGCCTTGATTTAACCTGCAGTGCTCCAAATAAGAAGCTCGTAAACACATTTTTAAGACTATCTGACGCCGAATAATTGTGAATGGGGGCAGCTGTAGCTGAAGTGACGCGGTGGTTTTCATTTAACTCAAAGGTTGCTGGGTCTACTCCCGACTTCCTCTGTATAAATCGAACAGCTGTACAGTCAAAGGGTTAGTTCAGCTTCCAGCTTCCTCGACCACAGATGGAGGTGTCAAAAACTCCCAACCCCATGTGGCCTCTGACGCATCAATAGAGTGTGAACATCAGAACCGTGCTCAGTGCTCTATGCTGAATTTCCCTATTTCTGCCAAATGTTTTCTAAGCTCGGGATCCGTCTCTCTTATTTTTGTTTGGGGTTTGTTCCCTATCTGTCAGCCTGTGGCTACAGCAGTGTGGCAGAAATATGCCTCCTCACATTACATGGTGTTACAGCCTCTTATTTTCCTCACACAATGAAACCAGTGCAACTCTGTGTGCATGATGTAGGAAGAACGCAACAAGACATCTGCCAACCTTTAAATCTTACCCTCTCTTTATCTTGTTCTGTCACTCTTTTTTAGGCTCTTGCCATGGGAATGATGACAGAGTATTATCACTATATCTTCACAACACTGGTAAGTACCAGTGCTTCACTGTCTCTTTGCTTTATGCAAATAAATGGTGTTCATTTCTTATTTAAATGTTGTTTTTTTTAACAAATTAACTATTTTGATTCCTGAAATGTGAATTTTAAATGTCTGTTGAACTTTAAGGAAAAGCTCTTAATTTGAAATAACTTAAAATTAAGCAGTACACATTTACAGTTAGTTTTCACCGGTCGGGTTTTTATATCTGGATCCTTCATCAGACATGTTTAAATCCACATTTTAGAATTGAAACAAAGAGAAATCTAAATGACTGAATGTAAAAAATAGTTGCAGTACATTTTTACTCATCCAAAATCAGCAACAGAGATATTAAGAATGGAAATAAAAAAATTCCCAAAACAGTTATTATTTTATATAATTAACATAATAATGTTAATAGTTATCAATACAACAATCAATAAGCCTTTTCAAATCTTTTAATAACCACACATATATATATATATACACAGTGTATATATATATATATTTCTATATATATACTGGTCAAATATACGTTTTGGAGATAAGGCTGTCACTGGTAAATTTGTTGGATATCGGTCGCCCAAATGGAGTGTTTATCCTCCTTTTGGCTGCTCCTAAGAAATGCAGCTCGCTATTTAGCTTTGGCATGCTTTGAGATTGCATTTGTTGTGATATGAATAGAATTAGTTGAAAAATTATTTTAAAAGAATTTAAAACAAATCTCTGGCCCTGCGATGGACTGGCGGACTGTCCATGGTGTTCCCCGCCTTTCTCCCATTGACTACTGGGATAGGCTCCAGTTCTCCCCATGACCCCATGAGGGAATAAGCGGTACCGATAATGGATGGATAAAACAATTTCTATTAGACCCTATAATTCACATTTTACAAAGGGACATCAGACTGATCATACTTGGGAAATGGGAAAGCCCATAGCCTGGGCTCTTAGAACAAGGGATGACTCAATATGGCACCGTTCTAACGGCGGCCTGTTGTTGCACTTCCGGGTCGTTTTTTTCGTTGCTTTTAGTAGGTTTTGTATTATTTTTTTATATTTATTTTTATTTAAGTGCTTTGTGACAAATTTGACACTTTTTTATTACTCATAACCGCACTTGGGTCTCTTCGGTCTACTGGGAGCTATGCACCACTAATCGGCATTGTTGACCAGCTGATAGCCCTGAGGCACATCACCCTCTTGGCCGGAGAGAGACCCACCATACCAGAGGAGCTAAAGAGGAGACAGCCAGGCTGAAACCGAGCATGAAGAAGAAAGTTTAAGCCCTTCATCCCTGCAGTCATCACTGGAAACGTGAGGTCACTGGCAAATGAAGTGGACGAACCAGAAGCGCTCACCTGGACACAGAGAGAGTTCAGTATCATGTGCTTCACAGAAACGTGGCTGCACGAGCAGATACGTCCATCCTCCAACGTCACCATTCCCGCCTTCCAGGCGGTTCGAGCCGACAGGGACACCACCGCGACCGATAAGGAGAAGGTGGGCGACTCGTCGTTCTCGTGAACAACAGGTGGTGTCAGCCCGAGCACGTCTCTGTTATGACTCCGGTCATCAATGGATTGTCGTTTAGCAGTGCCTTCACCACGCTTAAGACAATCCAGACTATTTGCATGTGTCGTTCCAAAATGGTGGAACCACCTACCAAGTGCTACAAGAACAGCAGCGTCCCTGTCTGTCTTCAAGAAACTCTTGAAGACTCCCCTCTTCAAAGAGCATCTCCTATCCTAATCCTAACCCGTATCTCTACCCCCCCACAGCTCCTTCTGTAGTCCCTCTATCTCACCACTGACTCTGATCAGTGTTTCTCCTCTATATAGCTTATCGTCATAGTGATGATAAATGTATTATTGTGTCTACTTTGTAAGTCGCTTTGGATAAAAGCGTCTGCCAAATGCATAAACATAAACACATAAACATTAATGAGCAGATCAGCTCGGATCAGCGGACATCGAGCTTGTCGCCGTCAGACTTCGTTCATATTATTTGCAGTGGGAGTTTACCAGTGTAATCGCCCTAACTGTTTACAATCCTCCGTCAGGAAAGCTGAAGCAGTGTGTGACTACAAAATAAACAACCTGGGGCCTTCATCGTCATCACAGGTGACTTTAACCATGTTTCCCTATCATCCAAACTCCCGACCTTCTTCCAGTTTGTTAAATGTCCCACCTGTGAAAACTGGACTTTGGAGCTGCTGTACACAAATTTTAAAGATGCCCTGCCACCACTTGGCAGGTGAGACCACAACTTTGTCCTGCTCTCCCCATCATACAAGCCTGTGGTTCAGCAGCACCCAGTCACAGTGCGGACAGTGAGGAAGTGGTGTCCTGAGGCTATGGATACACTGCGTGGAGCCCTGGAGAACATGGACTGGAATGTTCTGTATGAGCCAGATGGTGAGGACATTGATGGGCTGACTGACTGTGTCTCTGACTACACTGGGTTCTGCATTGACAACACCATCCCTACTAGAGGTCTGCTGCTACCCAAACAACAAACCTTGGGTAACCAGCGATCTGAAGGCCTTTCTCAACAAGGAGAAGATGGCCTTTAAACAAAGGAAAAAAGCAGAACTCAAATTGAAGATTAACCATCACCAATGGCAGCTAAAAACCGATTAGCAAAATGAGTAGTATTGTAGAATCTTCCAGTGTACTATGGAGTGACATGGTTGAAGATGAGCTGCCAGATGGTTTCTGCATTTTTTAGTTCGATTCACCTGAAAACTTTGATGAATCTTTCAACCTGCCAAAACTGGAAACATTGTACACGACCTGTGAATGT